TAAAGCAAATCTTCGTAAAACACCAATCGCAATGGTTCATCTTCTCTTTTAGTCTTTAATATGATCGGGGGCACTAAATGATCGGGGACTTGTTCACGGTAACTGTGTTAGGGCCTTCCTGTTGTAGGCTTTTTTGGCGCAGCCCTTTTCCGAGCGATGCCTAAAAAACTGTTATTTATCTGTGAAACGATTTTGAGACTGAAATCTACGCAAATATATCGTGGCGGGGCCTTTTTTTGTTGGTATTTTTGAAGGTAGAAACTGACTGTGTGGGGTGTTAACACTTACTGATAATGCTGCTTAAGCTGATTTGGTTAGGTGGCTGTACTGATGATTCCCACCCCTAATCACACCTTCGCTTGTCTGTGTTTACAGCTAAGGGATGAAACAGAGACAAATATCTATACATATTCTTCAGCACATGCGCAATCAAAACGTCACACTGTTTATAACACATGTTTTTATATGCCATCTTCCAATTTCCCCCGCCCTTCCTGTTGCCCATCAGCTTATTTCGCATGAAATATGAAGCTCGAGTTTTCTCATTCCTTTCTATCTATTTGTTGGTTGTGAATTTAGGTGTGTTAGATATATCAAAAATACCAAAATCATCCAGGCATTAGTGGCATTGGTGTTGTTGGGATGCTCCAAACATACCGTGCGCGGCTGTGCCAATCCCTGATGAATATACAAGTTAGAAATATGTGTCTTAGAACAGAAACTTGGCATTTAGCCAGCTGGTGGTCCCTGGGCTACCATAAACCTCGTTATTTTTAGGACTGTAACTGAGTTTTTTTTGTAATCAGTAGGTGAATTAAGGATGTGGATTTGACATATCTTGCGAAGACGACGGTTGGCTTTTCTGGTGCCGACCTAACGGAAATTTGTCAGCGAGCATGTAAGCTAGCGATTCGAGAGAGTATTGAGAAAGAGATTCGCCATGAGAAAATGAAGCAGGAACGTCGGCTGAAGGGCGAAGATGTTATGGATGATGAAATCTATGATCCTGTACCAGAAATCACACGCGCACACTTTGAAGAAGTTTGTTTTTTTTTTTTGGCATTAGTTTTTAGCTGTTCATGCATTGCCACGTCTATGAAGTTTTTAGAAAAATTGTAAGGCACAACGCGCTTCCATATTTGGTTCCTATAGATCATTCGTCACACTCACACACACATGTACACACACGTACATATCACACGTACACACGTACCTACCACACATGTACACACACATACACACACATACATACATGCATACACATACATGCCACACACACACATCATATACACACGCTTACATACGCGCACACACGGACACGTACATACCGCACACACACACACACACACACACGCACACACACACATACATGCATAAACATCATATACACACACATACACACACACACA